TATATATATATATAAAATATTTGGTTCTTATGTTATTTTTGGGAATATTATATTTTAAATGTGAGATATATTGTTATGGACTCTTTTAATAGAACAACAACATAACTTTTCAGGCCGTCTTCGAACCAGAGGACGACTACTACTACAGCGATGAAGAGCGCGCCGAGGGAAGACTATTCCAACGGTAGTCACATTTCAACCTGAATCCAAACGGGTGAGTGAAGACAGACGCATGACTCTTTTGTTTTGTTTGGCAGCAAAATGAAGGTGAAGAATAAGATGGGAGGGCTTCAGCATCGAAGGATTCGTCATGGTGTTTCTGAGCGCAGATTTGCGAGTCCTCAAAGTCCCCGCACACCGGCCAAACCACCAGCTCCAACTGGTAATTGTTTTTTGTTGTTGGTTTTTTTTTTTTTAATTAAAAAAAAAAAGTTTCTTAACATGTAAAATGAACTTGATTTGGATCTTAGCACTAAATGCCACAGTGGCAGTCCAGCGTTTACGGTCCAGACACAACCACTCGAATGAAGCCAACGAAGAGCCTTCCTTCCTGGTCTCGCAAGTCCTCAACCCCGATCTTTCTCCCGGAGACCCAGGTAACCAAAGACTACGAACCATCTTGACACATTCTATTGAACATGGTGATGCTGTCGCTGTCGTGAAGGCAGCAGTCACTCTGCCAGGACCAGGAAGCGCGCCTGCAAAACCGCCAAGCTGAATGGCTCCTCCGTGGCCTCTCTCAGCGGCGAACCTTCCGGCTTGGGCCTGCTGCAGACCATGCTGGCCCAAGTGGAGCTCGACTTGGATTCCCTGAGCCCGCAAACGTCGGCGCAGAGTCGGCAGCGCCCGGCGCAAGGCCTCACCGGCTTCTCTGTGGCTTTGGTCTCCACTCTGGCGCGCCTGGTCCACCTCCTCAAAAATGTACCGTCCGAAAACGAAGACCTCACAGAACATGCTTAACATTTCCGGGAGATGACTTGGAGCCTCTCTGTTTTCCTTAGCGAGAACACGACGAGGAGTGCGCGACCGAGGAGAGACGGAAACTCGAGGAGAAGCTGAGAGAGCAACGACTGTTGATTGACGCACTCACTGCAGAGACCATGACCCTAAGGGAGGAGACCTCCTCACTAAAGGTGGCGCTGTCACAAACAAAAAGTGCATTTTCTACTTACCGTATATCCCCTTTAGTGCACACAAGTCATTTTTCTCATCTCTCGTTTATTTACTTGTCCGCAGGAAGAGTTGCAGCAGCGGACGGCAGAACTGGAGCGGAAGCAGGACTCGCTGATGCTGGCAATGGCGACACACGTCAACCAACCCCATGGCTCTGATGTCATAGCTACAGGTTCATATTTTGTGTGCGGCGTTTCGATTTGTAAATGACAAAGTTGCGATCGTGCGAAAAAGAACAGGCCGTGGTTTACAGGAATGAAGTCGAAATATTCCTGGGGGGGAAAAAAAATCTAGACCTAAGACATAACATTACAAGAAATGTCAAAACATTTTACAAGAGCAAAAATCTCAAATTAAGAAACGGCGTTCTAGTCATTGAAAAAAACATTTGTCATTTAAGAGAACATAACTCAGTCAAAATGTTATCAGCAAAAACTTCAAATTTTCAGCTCTAATTTATAATTGAATTCAAATATTTTGCACTTAAAAGTTAACTACAAAATTATTTGTACCTAAATGTTATTTAAAAAAAGTCTGAAAGATTAAATGCAAATATCTTGAAAATACAACTGGAGTGCACTTGGGTGGTAATTCATTCTCGTACCACTAGAGAGAGCCATGTACCATTTCTGGTACTTTGAGAATCACTCGTCTTATCCAGTGCTCCCCAACATTTTTTGTTTCACCGACCAGATGAGACAAGTACATGCAGTTCACGAACCGTCAACCATTTAAAGCACTGTTATTGAGAGCAAACATAATTTTACAGTCATTTTAGATTTTATTAATTAACATCGATTTGTTTCAATAATTTCAAACAGTGGGTACACCTACTGTGTAAAAATTGTAGAATTAAAATAAAATCGCACAGCGAACTACGAAAAAAATGGACCGATCAGGAATAATAAATACGCTTTATAATGTAAACATAATAATACTGACGTTAGGATTCTACATACAGCGTTAGCATCATTGCTACTCGCAAATGTTACTGTTCAAAAGATGACACGATTGCTACGAAAAAAATGGACCGATCAGGAATAATAAATACACTTTATAATGTAAACATAATAATACTGACTTTAGGATTCTACATACAGCGTCCAAACTCTGCTCGCATTTTCATGCTTTCCACTTGATCACTCGAGTGCTACTCGTTCAAATGATTCAACAGGTTTCTTGCCGTACGCTTGGTCAATTTGTCACGATTACTTTCTGTTTACTGCTTCTTTCCCTTCTTGGCGAATTCTGTTCATTTCAACTTGCAAACCAGTGTTAGAAGGAGGACTCCGATTGGCTCGAGTCGTGCACATTTCCGCCACGTCTGATGGAGTAAATATGCTTACGGCTCGCAGGTCTATCTCTGTGCGGCCGGCTACTAAATGGGCTGTGGCCCGGTACTGGTCCGCGGACAGGTGGTTGGGGACCCCTGGTCTAATGGATTCCATTCCAAGGGCTGTCAGAAAATTCACCCTTTACAAAGATGAGTAGCTCAATTTAATGTGCCTAATGAAGTGTCCCTGTCTGGACAGGTCAATGGCCTGTTGCCGAGCGACCACCAGTTGCCAAGTCTCCTGCCATCCGACTTTCTTCACCTGGACAGCAAGATACCTGGCAGCCAATTCCTGGTAACCTCAATCATTTGTTTACTACTACTACCACGTATTAGTTAGTCCATTTAAAAAAAAAAAAAAGCGTATCGTCTTTCCACAGAGCCGGATCAGGGCGCCTACAACAAACTCCGAGCCCACAGCTCGTCGTCTTGTCTGGTCAGACTGCCTCACGCGAGCCTCCCCCTCATGTCGCAACTCTCTCCTGACATCTTGGAGGCCGAGATCGCCGAGCTCTGCCGAATCAGAGATGTGATTGCCGGTGCCCAGCATAGCCGAGCCCGTTGCGTCGGCGGGTCGCCGAGCAGCAGCAGCGGCACGGAGCCAAAATGCTCGGCTTCTGTCAGCACCGGTGGAGTGACACCTGACAGGGCATCGCGGTTTGAAAGCGCCATCAGTCTCAATCAGCACATAGACCAAGTGAATCATCAGGTGAGCGACACAATCTTCATCTTTTAAAGGGAGATACCTCTGAGTGTATTTATTTATTTTTTTTTACGACAAAAACATAGTTGCATCAAGGCTTTTTAAAATGGAAAAAAAAAATCTCTTTGCCTTTGTTGCAGGGGTCTGCGAATCGTAACAATGTAAGTAGTGTTCATCAGCGCCTCTTAGAGCTCAACAGGCAAAGCGCAGCAGCCAGAGGACGATTGCTGGAACTCATAGAGCAGCAGAAGCAGACCCTTTCCGCCAAAGTGCCTCTGTCCGGCTCGCCTGTGCCCCTCTCGGCCTTCAGCCCCCCGCCATCGGGTAAAACTGTTGAACCATCCTGCCGTGCGTTGGTTGTAATCGCCTCGACTGTAAGTGACGGCTGACTTCATACCAAGGTGGCAGTGGAAGCATTGACGGATCCCTCCCGATGCCGCCGGACGACCGACGGTGAGTTTAAACATTGACCAAAATTCAAAGGGTCATATTATGAATAGTTAGCTTTGACTTGCTTGTATCCAAATAGGTTTAAGTCGTGAATCGATGGGGATTTTGGTGATGTGAATGTTAAACCATTAAAAGCTGATCATGTGAGAGGTGGAGGGAGGGGGAAAAAAAAAGGTTTCTAAACTTTTTTTTTTTTTTTTTTGTCCTTGCGCTTTAGATCAGCCACTTTGCAAGTGTATTCTCGGTATTATGAAGAGGCGCAGAGGGACGGAAGCACACAGGCAAACGCACACACAAAAGCATCTGACGTCTCTCATCAGCTCAGTTGCAAATAAACATGTCATTGTTCCTCCGCAGCAAACAGGCAAGCAGCAGGTACAGGACGGCTGACTCGCTCTTTCTGCTCATGTTCGATGACAAGAAGAGGATTTTTTTTTTTTTTTTTTAATTTCGGAATTAAATGTGTTTATATCGAAGTGTGACTTCTACGGTTGGACAGAATGGCAGTTCTGCTTTGATCGCCATTCCCTCCACTTTCAACAAATAAATCAATGTCTTTGTCGCACTGTATTCAATTGATGAGTTGTCTCATTTTATGGTGGTCGCCTTTTTGCAGCACGCCGATGCCGCGGCAAGCGATAGTAATGACGACTGAGGACGTCTCGAGTGTGTGCAGGGAGTCGGGAGGCGGCGCGGTACAAAGACAGTCAGTGGCAACATGGAGTCAATTCTGAAAGAATAAGCAGTAAGTCGTACTGCTGTTTTTTTTGGGGGGGCGGGGGCATTTGATTTCATGTCAAATTATACACCAGTCTTGATAAAGTAAATGCTTGAGCTACAGTCAAGAACAGTGACATTTTTCTTCCCCACCCCTGCTGTAGTGTCATGGGGAAGTAGTACAACAATGTCAATCGCATCTGGTAGTTTGAATTTGGAAAGTGAAAGTCTTCGGTGCACAATTTATGAATGCAAGAATCCCCCCCCCCCCCCACACACACACAAAAACTTAACATACAACTACTCCATGAAATGAAATCACAAGGAGTTTGGAAGAAAAAAAAAGGGTGGGGGCGGGGTGGGGGTGGGTTGATGGCAGGCCGAAGGTCATTGTGACCGGACGAGTAAG